GGGAAGAATTTCAAAGTGAATGTTTTCACCATGTCATTTCATGAAACTATGCTCCCAGGGATTACTGAGTTTAACGAGTCTCGTGCGCCATCCTTTAAGGTGTGGGGAAATAAGCACAGTCGAAAAGCGTCAACAGGTATGCCTTTGTGACTAATCGTATCGCACAACATCAAGAAGGCTTGGATATGTTCATGAGGATTTTCAGTTGATCTTCCAGAGAACTTGATGTCGTGATGATTCTGAAATAAGTTGATTACGTCGGTCTGATGTGGAAGTTAGCCTGTCCAAATGGTGGATTTATGATAGGTGGTTACACTAGAATAGGAATGGGATTCACATAATCCCTCACTAAAGCTTCTGCATCATTTGCTACTACCCTTGGCTGGACTAGCTCAGGTAGTGGTAATGGATTCTGAACTTAATTCGGATTTTGATTTCTCTCATTTCCCTTACTTCTCTCTGTTCTCTTCTTCGTTGTCTGATGGTTCTTTCGATTTCGGGGTCTATTAGTAAGAGCTCGATTTCTTTAGATTCTTGCATAAACTGCCAAAAAATTAAAAAAATAAAAAATAGTTGTGTAAATAATATCCTAAAATAAAAATTTGAATACTATAAAACTAATAAACTCAAATTAAATTATTCCCCAACAATGGCGCCAAAAGTTTGTTCGTGCAAAACCCACAAGCGTACATGTACATTCTTGGGCATCGGGTTCTAAGAGTTCTATAGAATCTGGGATTCTATACTTCTCTCTAAGTTCAACTAATTTGGTAGAGGTCATAGCATAAGGGATTTTTGCAGCCCCCCACCCCGCTTTATAATCGGTGGGACCTTCACTCATAGCCCAAAAACCTCCGTCTGACCACCCTCAAGACATGGCTTGCTCCCCAACCCTGGGAATGGTTACCCTCCCACTGCTAGCATTGGACCCAGAAGTCATTGAAATTAAAAAAAGATGGAATAAAGGATGGAAAGATAGAGAAATTACCTAAACGGAAAGAAGCTCTAAGAACGTGACGTCGCCGGAGAATAGAAATGGCTGAAAAAGTTTTTTGAATGCTGGAAAGTTGAAGATTTTCACAAAGGTAAAAAACTATACATTGGCAAGTTTTTAGCTTTTATTGGAAAAGAAGACAAAGCTCAACCATTGGATCTAGATCTACTTCATCTAAAGCGTCTATTTTTAACTTTATCTGAGACGTTGAATTCAAACAATTTTTCTTATTAACGCCTTATATTGATGCGTGTCTCAACATGAGCCTCGGCGAGTCTCAAAATCATCATGCGCATTCAATATGTAACGATTGTACGTGCATTGGAAGTCTAAACGATTCAATTGTCTTTTCTTGGTAATGTGCAAAAATATCAAATCATTGGCACTATTACCAAAAGCATGCTTCATTTCAATTCAAACAAGGAGCTTCACCAGTTCAGGACTTCCCTGCTTCGACTCACCAAACAAATTTTAGCTATTTCAATTAAAACAAAGAGCTTCAGCAATTCAGTACTTGGCTCACCAAACAAATTTCAGTTATTTTTATAACAATGAGATTCAGCAGTTCGGTACTACATAAGCATAAGACGACATGTGAGAATCGGATTCAACTTCGAACTCCAACTATGATATCAATATCTATACTTGGACTTGGGGGACTTCGTTCAAAAACCTAACCATGATGGGAAAACCTACTCTAAAGAAATATCACTCAAGACAGAAGTCAACGCATGACATGAATAACCATACATGTACTTTATAGACTATTTTTACACTTTGCCACGTAGCCGATCCGCCAAACCTGTTCACTTAAGCCATGTGGCATCCCACTTGGAGTGCATATGACCTACCAAATTGGAGCACCAAATCCTACTTTCACTGAAGCTATCCCATGTGCATGGCCCCTGCCAAAGCCCACTTTCATCGAAGATGCCCCGTGTGAAGAGACTCTATCGAAGCCCACTTTCACCGAAGCAGTCCTTGTGTGAAGAGGCTTTGTCGAAGTCTCAACCACGACAAGTGACAACCTGCATTTAAAGATCTTGAATTCATGAAATCTTTGTTGGAATGATTGATTTGACTCTTATAATGAGTAATGTGTCGAAATCTTGTCAATATATGTTATAGGGTGACTGCCCCCTTTTTAGGAACATTTAATGTGTCACATGCTAATTGGGTCAAAATTGATACTTAAATAAAATGCTTCGGTTAAGGATACGAGGCAACGTGTCCTCTCATCCAATGATCACAATTTCACATGTAATACTATAAATATTTCCCTCTTTGTATCATTTGGGGGTAATGCTAACAAATTAACTATAAGCGATATATTCTCTCGTTTTGAGTTTGATATTTTGTTGCTAAAATTAGACGTTTGATTTTTTGTTCGTTCCTTATCGTGCATTTTCACTCATATATCTTGCCGGCGTCCGAATATATTTGTTTCGTGTTATCAAGTCTTTCCCACGTTCAAATTCGAGATATTATCAACTAGCAATCTATCTACACGTGTTGAAATTAACTTGCGTGAAAACGAGTGGACTAGATATCTGTTGTCCATGTCAATGGCACAAAAAATGATGTCATCAAAATCAGTATCTAGTATCAAGTTTCCTATTACTGAGGTCCATTAGTTGTCTTTGCCATTCTTACCGCACAATACAAATAATGTTTCTAAACTCGTAAAATGTTAGAATGGCATGCCTTAAAAGTACACGGCAATTCATGCAATGATATTATTCAACACAATTATTTTTCCATCAAATTATTACGTTTCTTTCTACAAGAGTCGCAAAATCCTTCTAAACAAGGTTGTGGTCCAGTTAATGATATGTACGACAGATTGATATCTCCGCCCCAAGCCGCCACCTCAACCATACGCTGTCCACAAGAAAACCATTCCTTTGTTTATTTTATTGAACTTGATTAGATGCCCTCTAGTTGGACAAATGACAGAGAATCAGTTGTCATAATTTTCCATTATGTAATAAAATATTGCCTTAATCACATGAATTTCTTACTTCATTTAAATGAAATTCATGTACCAAATGAAGAAATGCCAAAAGTTAAGATGCTTAGATGTAATGACTTGTTTGGTGGGTGGGACGATAATTATAGTTCACACACACTACAATAAGTAATTACGGGGAACATAGAGCATAAAACGAAACAAAGCTCGCGGGAAATCTCAAACTGTACAAAACGAAAGAGTTGACAAGACAAAAAATTACACACATTTAAATAGAATCACAGGCAAACCTACACCTAACCTAAGGACAGACAGACGAAACAACTAACAACAGAAAAGCATGGACCAAATTTTGATTCACTAATTGAAACGAGTGAAAATCAAATGATCGAGGAAGGCTCCGGATGTGTCAGAATTGTGTAGGGACTGCTTTTCGAAATGGGACATGGAAACTACATTCACACTTCACGTGCTTTCCGAGACTTTCCAGCTGTGACAAGCAGCCGCCTCACATGTTAATTCTTAGTTCCTCACCCTCTCCATCATGACTACTCTTTCTCCATGCCTTTTTCACTCATTTGGACTTGTATGTCATTACGGTTTCCGAGAGTTACTTTCGTCCTAGGAGCCAATTTTCGTCACATCCCTGCTCGATCTGTTGTATTTCATGTGACTTTTGACAAGTTGGCCAGCTGCAATGGCGGACATCAAAGAGAGCTCACCTGCCAAGACAGAACCAGCAACTACGGTGGCCAGGAGCTGGGAATTCGACCCTGGGGACTCTTTGTTTGCACCTTTTACCCCAAGCAAGTTGAGGCAAGCAGATTGTGATGCTAATTGGGTTCCACCTCCAACAGTGCCAACCTGTAAATAACAACAGTGATGATCAGGGAATGACGCAACAGATCTGATATAATCATTCATAAACAAATGGGTGTGTGTGTGTGTGTGTGTGTGTGTGACCGTGATGGACTTCAGAACCAATTGAACATAATGATCCAAGTTCGAAGAAAAAATATATAAGATCATAGTACAGAGAAAAATTTCCAAATTGTCTAAGCATTTGTTGTATTTGGTGAGGAAATTCGTCTGCACTATCCAGTTACCTGCCATTGACACTGACGACTACCAAACTAAATACGACAAAAAAATAAAGATTGTTTGGAATGTTGAATACCTCAATGGAAGGCATTGTGACAGATATATGAAGATCGTTCCCATTGTTGACAGCCTCCGTCATAGTGATGCAGTGAGAACTTTCAATTTTTTGCGCCGGATCCTGCCCAGTGGCTATGTAAATAGCAGAGATTATATTGGCGGCATGGGCATTAAAGCCACCAAGGTCACCAGCT